TCAGCTGTGAAAATGCAGAACAATGGAGAATCAATCAATAGCCTGACAGAATTCTTCATCTTCATATAACGCTAGCCAATATATTAAAACACAAGTCAAAAACAATAGGAAATTTTATGAAGTAATAGCCTACATGAAGTATGTTTTTAAAAGCTGTTATAATGCTATATCATCTAAAAACAAAACGAACAAAAAGAAAGACAGGACCTGGAGACGCAAAACAGTGCTGTGGCTGTGTTTGGAATTATTTTTGTTGTCAAAATAGAGCAAAAACAGGCAATATGGTGTCTATAATGCAAGTCTCTTAATTAACTTCTTGTTTTTTGAACTGTTGTAAAAAATCAATATTACGTTTGTAATCATTGGGAGAAATTGCATTTGTGCGATATTGATTAACTATATGATCTAGGGCTGTGCAATTAATCGCATGCGATTGTCAGTAAAGCCGGTCCCGTGATTAGTAGTAAATCTCCATCACCTGCTTTCAGATTGAGCGGCATTCACTACACGGAGCTGTAGTTCACTGACAATTAGGCAATATCGTGTTCATAATCGCAGATGAATCGCATTCTATTATGAACGCGATATCGCCTAGCTTGTCAGTGAACTACGGCACTGTGTAGTGAATGCCGCTCAAAGCTGGTGATGGAGATTTACTACCAATCACGGAACCGGCTTTACTGACGAGATGCGCATGACATTCGAATGCGATTAATTGCACAGCCCTAATATGATATACATTTTCTGTCCCCATATCTTGAGTTTTGTGATCATTCTAAATGTATTTTAATTTAATCATGCAGTGACAGACTAGACTTCACGTCTAGTCTTCACGTAATGTGTGCGTGCCATAGACTGTATAGGTGCGTGCACTCTGTAGTAGGGATGTGCGCGACGACTAATTTGACTGTAGTTTAAACGGAAGTTTTGTATCCGACTAGTCTAAAAGCAAGAAAACCCCAAAAGATGGTAAGAAAAAAAAAAACTGTGCGCGTATATAATAGCCTACATTTGAAATACTTAATCTATGAATCACTGTCAAATCCCTCAATGAATTCCGCTAAAAATAGGTCACAATTATGCCGTTTGCTTGCCTCGCATTATCATTTAATTTTAAAAAGAAAAAAAAAGAGCACACACTCAATGTCAGCCAATGCTTATTTATTAAAATCAGCTGTGAAAATGCAGAACAATGGAGAATCAATCAATAGCCTGACAGAATTCTTCATCTTCATATAACGCTAGCCAATATATTAAAACACAAGTCAAAAACAATAGGAAATTTTATGAAGTAATAGCCTACATGAAGTATGTTTTTAAAAGCTGTTATAATGCTATATCATCTAAAAACAAAACGAACAAAAAGAAAGACAGGACCTGAGGTGATTAACAATTCCTGCACTTGAAAAAACGCTCTCTGCAGAAACTGAAGTCGCAGGCATGCAGAGATAACTAAAAGCAAGCCAACAGAATTTCGGAAAGCGCCTGGACATCCCTCACCACCACCGAAGTGGGTCTTCGTTAGAGGAATAGACGGCGCGGAAGGGATCGCAGCGGCGGGTTGTAGTGAATGACGTAATTGACATTAGCTGGCTTTGGCTAGTCTCTAAGCTAACGCCTACGTGCCTGTATTGAATATGATTATGCATAGCTCCAGTAGAGTTATTGTAAGCCAATTTGACATTACACAGTTTACACACAACTTTTCCGTTTCCTTCTAATTCAAAATAATCCCACACCTTGCTCGTCTTTCACGTGGTCACTTTTGAGCTCACCACAACTGACATGAAGAAAACTCATGCGAGGTCTGAGGTAAAATTGAAGTTTACGCCCAGATACACTTTTAAAAATAATGTATTATTTTTCAAATGTTTTATTTTAACTTATTTCAAATGTTTTAAATGTAACAATGGTAATTTGATGGTAACATAAAATGATGGTAATTTGAATGATGATTTTTTTTTTTATTATAATTTATAAAAAATGTATGTAATTGACTATTGTTTTCAGTGTCGACTTGTAGGAGCTGTACCGTTTAGTCGACTAGACCCACACATCCCTACTCTGTAGGGGTGTTTTGAATGGTTTTTGCAAAATACTCGACAATGTCAAATTGCACATCGTTAAAACAACAATTACGATATTATCACAGATTATATATATCGCCCACCCCTACTTGTTGTTAATGTATTTTGAATGCAAAAGGCACTTAAAAAAATAGTTGATTTGTTATGCATGTTTATTAAATACAAGTTTTGTAATAATTGTTCCGGACCTTTGACATGAATGAAAATTCAGATTTGGACCTTTGAATGTAGACATTAAGAACCCTGGCTTAGTTTATTTTAGGAAATTCAGGCCAGGTTCTCTTGTGTAAGAGTTGTTCATTTGAACAGGGTTTGTGCTTGCATATTTTTTTTCAGAGAACCAGAATACTATGACTATGGACATGGAGAGACACAGGAGGGCTATGAAAACTACGGTAAGTTTAGTTTTCTGGTCATTTAGTTCCCAAACCTTCATCTGTTGCTGATGGTTTCAAACATTTATTATAGTTACTTCAAGGGTGTGGACTGTTACAATCGATAACACTGGTGTTGCTGAACAGAACAATTCCTGTATTTCAAGATGTTTACAGAAGTGTTAATACCTACGAGTCCTGGCCAATGTTATATTTATATATTTGAAAATAAAGCCTGTCACACAGGCTGTGTCTGAAATCGCATACTGTCTAGTAGGTATTTGCTTTGAGACTTTGTTACTGTTGAAGTACATTCTATTTAGTATGAATGACTTCTTGAATACTATGAATTTGGACATACTACACTTGTCAGGTACTCTGACCTACTGTATATTATGGAAGTAGCCATATCTGGATGCAGCACATAGTTTGATCCATAGCATAGATGTTCACAGTTTACTTTATACTTTTATTACAAGTGCCCTACCAGCAATGTTTTGACTTATTTTTAAATGATTCTTGTAAATTTGCGTTTATAACCATTCTAATACAGATTTGGTGGGGGTTAGTGAAGATCATTTACATTTTTTTTTAATATTTGAAAATAAAGCCTGTCACACAGGCTGTGTCTGAAATCGCATACTGTCTAGTAGGTATTTGCTTTGAGACTTTGTTACTGTTGAAGTACATTCTATTTAGTATGAATGACTTCTTGAATACTATGAATTTGGACATACTACACTTGTCAGGTAATCTGACCTACTGTATATTATGGAAGTAGCCATATCTGGATGCAGCACATAGTTTGATCCATAGCATAGATGTTCACAGTTTACTTTATACTTTTATTACAAGTGCCCTACCAGCAATGTTTTGACTTATTTTTAAATGATTCTTGTAAATTTGCGTTTATAACCATTCTAATACAGATTTGGTGGGGGTTAGTGAAGATCATTTATTTACATTTTTTTTTTTACGTTTTTGGTGAGCTATAGTTTGCTTGCTGTTGCTTTACCCACTTGCACTGTGTTTGATCCAGCAGCTCAAGATGACTGGAACGGGACACAGCGCCCTGTTGGCGGTGGAAAAGCTCCCACTCAGAGACCGACTAAGCCTGGGTTAAGGGAACACCCATATGGACGATACTAAGTCTGATTAGTGGAACATCACCCAACGCGTCGCCATGACAACTGTCTCCCATGGCAGCTCACGCTTTAAGCTACCCGACAAAAGTAATTGTCCGTTTGTTTTTTTTGGTTTTGTGTTTTTTACTCCGGACTTTTTTTAAAGAAACTCGACAGAACGGCATTTGAATGCCTCAAGAATCAACATAACCTTTAGAAGGATTAAAGTTTAAACATGGCTGTTTTTTTGTTTTTGTTTGGTTTGATTTACTTTTGTTTTTGCCAATATCTCTTCCTCTGCTCATACCTACCCTTGCTTTTTTGCATTTGTCCATGGTAAACGTTTGTTCCAATGATTGGAAAAAGTATTTAGCTGAAAGGTAAAGCCTAACAACTGTACAGCCACTTTTTATGCGTCTCAGGACACCACTTTAATTTGTGTTACCTTAAAAACTCTGCTGAGGTGCAGTTGCAGATTCCCATGTAGGCTACATTTCAAAATTCTGTTTAATACTAGCATATCAAAAAGACCCTAAACGTAATGTATGTTTTGTAATGAGTATAAATTACTGAAATGCAAAATGTCTTTAATGGTATTTCCAACAGCCATTGATTATTCCTCATTTGATTTAAATAGTCTTAAAAGCTGTAAATGTAAATTTAGACCTCAATATTTTTCCTTGTATCTTTAGAGTTTTGAAATATAGCCCAATTAGACGCTGTTGAGATGGAATGTCCTCAAATCCTTAATTTGTTAAAATAAGATGTTACTTTTCAAAACTGTTCTGTAGAATAACCCATGTTTGGCTACTTATGTTTAAAGGGAAAAAAATATATCATCAAACAAGTCAGATTATCATGGATGACACCATGCTATATAAACTGCATGCACAAACTGCTTAAAAAGGATTTGGACAACAATCTCCACAAGGGTCATCTCTTTCTTATGTAAAGGGATACTGCAGCTAAAACCGACTCTATTGTACATAATTTAAAAAAGGAAAGAAAAAAACAACCCACATCCAAACTGTACTTTACTGCCATTTAGTATTTGTATCCTCTCCATAAAATGCAGAATGACTTGTGTAAACTTGCCTAAATAGGTAACTAAATCTGTCCAAAACATGTTTTGCAGCAGATGTCAATAAAGCCTAGATTGTTTTTTTATGAAACTTTAACCTGGTTTATTTTTTTGTCTTCATAAAATCTGAAATGGCCTTTTAAATAACTCATAACCTTCGGTTCCAACCTTTCTTCCTCTTCAAAAACAGATTTTAAATTTAAAACAATGCATGTAGTCTGAAGACGTAAACTACACTAAAGGAGTCTGTTTAAAGTGTTTGATTTGACAATTAAAAGCACACCTTTAATGTTTCTCTCTCTTTTTATACTTAAAAAGGACCCTAGAGGTAAGACCTGTGCTCTTTAAAATAACCTGGATAGCTTCCTAATGTCTATAGAGAGAACTAAAGCATTCGATGCTTGGGTATGTATTAAACTTTTCTTGAATGACATTTTATTTTTGGTCTCAGAATGGGAAATGTATTACAGCCTGAAATAATTTGAATTTAAAAGTTAAGTTATGCAGGGGCCATATTTGTCAAGACTGATGCAAAGACAAGTTGGCTGCTTTTAGTAAAGAGGACAGGAGAGGACTGTTAAACTTTAAGTGCAGCATTGTAAAGGTAACCCTAACCCTAAATTTGTACACGAGTAGTGTTACATTTATATACTTAAAACTGTTTGGTAACAGCGTGCAATGATTTAAAAGATTCAATCGTTTAAAAACATAAGTAAAGTGGAAAAATATATATATACATCTATACAAACACGCAGTAATAGATTTTGCTTATAATAATATTTCTGTACTAACATTTCAGAGCAGAATTATAATGCAACTCATGCTAAAAGTGCTCAGTGTCAAATCTTGATCCATCTATGTTTGTAATGCTGCTCCTGTTTTTTTTCTTTTGCGATTTAATTGTTTAACGTATTGAAAAACTCAAATGTCCTACCTGAAAAAGTTACCTGGAAAAGCTTGAGTTGCATGACTCAAACTTGGCAGATTGCATGAGCTTCCTCAATACAAAATAGTTTATCATAGCAATGTTTGATTGTTCGCTCATAGCATTCTCTCTTCCCTAGGTCGTGATGCCTAGCAATTCCTGGAAATGGAACATTTAATCGAATGTCAGACCTCTCCTCAGGTCAGTTATCTTTTCCACTGAAAACATGCATCAATGCTCGTCAATTAAGAGTTTTGTTACTTTTGTTTGTTCTATGTAGTTTTAGTCTATCTTAATTCTGATGAGTCAAAGCTTTCCAAATCTGCATGTTCTGCAAGAAGCGCTAAATGGCACAAAGTTGCACTGCCCTAATGGGCTTGCTTCCGGTTTCCACTATAGACCCAGCTCTGTAATTACTGGTAGCTCCAGTGGCTTAATGTGATGAATGGACTCATCATGGAAGATGATTTAGATGCCTTGGAGTTGTGTGTGTGCTCTTCCCTCTTGCTTGCTTTGCTGATCGACTTGTAATTCTCCTACAGGAAAAGACAAGCATTTGTTTGCAGTGTAAGGGCAATCTTACCTTTGAACACCAGCTGCCTTTAAGGAACCATGGACAGTCTGACTGAACAGTTTGGAATGGCAGAAATCGATAGTCCTGTCAGCTAACGTTTGATCCAGCAACCTCTTAATGGGTTAAAGTGGAAAAGTCTTGAGCTGTTGATGCTCGTTTATGTTGGCTCTCCAGTCATAATGCAAGGTCACTTTCTCTGTACTGAAAGTTTCTCTTTACTGTTCACCTCATCAAATGCTTTCTAAGCACAGTTTACTTTAAATGTTCATCTTTAAATTGACTACTACTGCTCATGTTGGCCAAAAAAATCATTTTAACAAGCTAAAAAAATTCTGTCGGGGCTCTCCAGACGTCTACCTCAGACAATACTCCAGTGCTTTATTCTGCAAGACAAGCATGTCTTTCCCGGTTCCTCGCTCGGAGGAACGTACATGCTAATTTGGAGCTGTCCGGCCTCTATCTCTTAGCACAGACTTTGTCCGTTAATTGCCATGGTAATTTTCATCGTGCTCTTGAGTAGATATGTTTGAATGGGTTTATGCTGCTGGAGCTCTCTTGCAGTTTGTATGAATCACAAATGAATCTTGCGTCTGATGAACCAAGCACAAAAAGCTCCAGGGATTTGCAGTGTAGCGTAACGGTTGATCTAAATCATACTAATGTTTTTTTTTTTTTTTTTTACCTTCTGGATAAAGGTCTTACTTGCCCTAATTGAGAGCTTTCCATAAATTCTGCTTTGTTTTCTAATCCTCGCTGTTTTTGGCACTGTGCATGTGTTGCTGTCAGTGTATATTGCTGTAGCTTCCATCTCTTGCTCATCTCCACCCCCAACACGCATAGGATTCGAGCCCAATTACCGCCGCTGACAGTGTGTCCGTCCCCCCGCAGAGCCGCCACTGGTTGCCGACTGGCTAACAGGACTAATGCCTTATTGCATTAAAGACAAATCAGTCCTCGGCACAGATTTTAATAAGTATTAGCCACTGCTCAAGTGCCATCGAACAATTGGAAATGGGTGCACGTGGGTAGGAGGTTGACCGGTTTGTATGTAGACTTCACTGTAATGAGAAATCGCAAAAGCAAATAATGGAAATATTTAATTCATTTCCCAGACAGATGCTTAGGGGGTAAAGAAAACTACTCTCAAGGAGGAGGAAATGTTCAAACCCACTGCAAGGACTTAATGGGTCTTTGTTTACACGGTCATATCTGTTTGCGTTGGGCATGCGTGGCCTACAGCTGCTGGGGGAATGCCTCTGGGGTAATGTGCAAGGTCTGAAACTGGGGGATTGTGGCTTGGCAGCTCTTTCCTCTTAACACACATCATGCATGCTGAAAATAGGAAGCATGGCTTTGCGAATGCAAATGAAATGCAGAACGCTTGCTTATTCTACTTACTGACTGTCTGTCTTCCTGCATGGTTATTTTGCTAGTTTCACACCTAACCAGTACACTCCAGGGAGTCAGGGTTTTGAGTGCACGGGGAGGAGTTGTGACGGTTTCTGGCTCGTGTCCTGGAGAACCGTGGCCGCTGGCCACCTCCTTTAGTGTGAAATGCTGGTAATAACTAAGCCTCCTAAAGGTCTCTCTGAATGTGCTGTGATGAAAATGAATTGAATCCATCCATGTGGAATCTGGCTCGAGTAATCCGTAGCCCTCCAGGACTAAAAATTGGACACCTCCACCTTGGCTGTCGTTGAAGTAACATTCCATTGCATGTTTTCCAACATCCACACAAGCCGACGCACCTAACACAATGTCGGGAAACCATGGGAATTGCTTGGGATTAGTGATGAAATACAAGTGCCAGGAGTCTGAATACTTTTGTTTTCCTAAGGAGATTGATGAGCCTGCATTTACAGTGCAACTAAACTGGATTTGAAATTATTGAAGTGCCTAGCTGTTGGCCTTATCTCCGTAGAAGCAAACTAAAGCCTTTGGGGTCAGAGAAACCGTTTGGTGACTTAAGGGAGCAGACAGAATTTTTCAGTCATTCAAACTTGTTTGGTAGTTGGTGCATCCAAGAGCACTCACACACAGTCTGCATATTATGTTTGACTACAATGAGAATACTTAACTTCACAGATGTTTTTACCTGTTTTGTAATGTCAAAAATAAAAAGAAACTGAATTCAAGAAGTGGCTCCTATGTGTCTCTTTCAAAGTTTGTCTTCATGTCTCTTGATAGCTTGTTCTCCTCAGGGTTTCAGAATGGACTACAATGGACTCAAATACAACAATGGTTTACAGTAAAATAAATCCGTCTAAAATATATACTGCAGTAACTTGAATGCTATAGCAAGAAGCAATGCACTCAATTAGCTACTGTCTTTATCAAATGCTACTGTAATTTTACTTCATTTTCATTTTAGGTGTCAGTGGCTCCCTTGTCTTAATTTTTTGTGTTTAGCTATGAAATCTTTGTGCTGTAAAGCAAAGGTCTTCGTCCTTGTTTTTGGAGAACCACTGGCCTGCAGAGTTTAGCCTCAACCCTATTCAAACGCACCCGAACCAGCAAATCAAGGCCTTCAGGATCACTTGAGAATCATAGGTAGGTCTGTTGAAGCAGGTTGCAAATAGACTTTGCAGGATGGTTGGGCTGTATCCAGCCCAATACTAATATAGTATCCTCGAATGAAAACGAGTGAGTTGGGCAATTGAACTTTCTGGTAATAAAATTTCATGGGTGTTCTCTATTGGCCAGCGATTGAGTGTACGTCGATTGTACACATAAATGAGGTGCATTATGGGATTGAATGAGTACGCTCAATGTCCACACTGGTTTTGGACATCACTATATAAATGGATGTCCCCTTAAAGGTGGGGTAAGCGATTTCTGGTAGCCAATGTTGACATTTGAAATCACCAAAACAAACATGCCCCTACCCCAAAAGGATCTCGCCCCTATTTTGATTGATCTGCCCCACACATACGTACGAAACCCAGGCAACGATTAGTTCTGTGAAACAAAACAAAAATGTTACAAAAGAGTTATTTGTTCAGACTCCGTTGCAGCTTTAAAGGGAAGGAAAAGTGAAGGCAGGTCAGAATTAATAGTAGAATTATTAGTAACACTCAATCGAGTTAATAAAATGGGGAATATAGTGGGATGTCTTTGGGTGCCAGCTCACATAGGTGTTCAGGGAAATGAAGAGGCAGATGAAATGGCAAGAAAGGCTGTAAATAGAAGTGAAGTAGAGTTGGATGTTATGTACGGAAGAGTTGAGTGTAAACGTATTATCCAAGAAGGAACAATAAAATTGTGGCAAAAAGAATGGAATGAAGGATATAAAGGCAGATATTACTATTCTGTTCAGCCTATAATAGGGCATTCTATGATAAGAAGGTTAGAAAGAAAATATAGTGTCGTTTTAACTAGATTAAGGTTGGGCCATTGTGCATTGAACTTTGGGTTAGCAAGGATTGGAAAACATCCAGATGGCAGATGTAGATGTGGACTAGAAGAAACTGAGCCATGTGATGATGGAGTGTGCCATTCATCATGCAGCAAGACGTCACATGTTTTCAAAGTTATTTAAATGTGGAGTCAATGAAGTGGAGAAACAAGTGTTTATTTAAAATCTATCCTTAGCTCAAAGGATTATGAGTCAAAGTCGTTATAAATTTTTTGCACATTACTGGACTTTACGCAAGGATTTAAATGTTAAGAAGAAGAAGTCTATGTTACACTGTGTCTACACCGGACGCGAGTGGTGCGGCGCAACAAAATACTATAGAACTCATTATAATCAGTGATGCTGTCTACACCATAGATATACAGTATATACATATCTATGGTCTACACTGGATGCGGCGCGGCATGACACGACAAATCCCCGACAGAAAACTGCTGCTGCGTTTTATTCATGATGACACAAATTTCAAATGATTTTCAAAGGTCGCTTTGTCGCGTCCAGTGTACTAGACAGACTTTAGCTGTTGTGGCGCAGACACGGTGTTACTCACCTATCGAGAAGAAACAAAGCAACCTCGGCGTCCGATCGCAGGCCTTCCGCTCCTTGAGTTCTCTCTAGTGTTGGAAAGCTGATCCGATATTTACACGGGTCCTACTTCTTGCCTTAAGCTTTCATTTGTTCCGCAGACGTTTTCCTCTTTTTTTATTTTTTTTTATTTCATCTCTATTTTTCTGTCGCTCGGCTTGGCTAATGTCCGTCCTGTGCACTGAACATTCTCTCCTCCACATCATGAGTAGACACGCCCCTTACTGCTGCTGCTTACTGGCTACAAGTTTGTTTTGCTACTTGGCGTTTTTGAAAAATCGCTTACCCCACCTTTAACTAGCTGACTATAAAAGGTTATTGCAGTGATGAGGAGCAGGGTTGAAGACTTCTGATTAAAAAGAACCATTATGGTTAAGCTCTGTGAATAACATCTGTTGCATGCCGATTACCACAGAAAATCATGCTGGCTCATACCTCATATTGTAAAATCAGCAGAAATGTGTTTGCAGTGGATGTCCGTGAAGCAGCTGTTGTATGGATTCCCCATAGAATTCCATTGTAAGTGCAAGCAACATTCAGACAGTCTGTGTAATAACTACTTGTCCTGCTGGTTGCTGTGCTGAGCATGTTTTGAAACCAATAAGGATGAATAAGATGTGCATCATGCGGCCCTCATGAATAATTGAAGACTCCCATTTAGTCTTGAATACTTTTAATGCACAACGAGGATGTGCTTTCACGAGCCGGGCACTTAGAAAACTATGTTTAGATAATACCTTGATGTAAGCAGGGTCTGTTGAGCAATTGTGGTGTTTTTAATGGAATGTGTGTTTAATGCGAGTGCGCTCAGGTATCTGGTGCAACAGATGAGAATCAATGAGACATGCAGGGCACTACACAGCTTGAAGGGAAGTGGGCGCCGGTCTGCCCTTTGGCTGTGCTCAACAAGCATTAAGTTCAAGAGGAAGTATCATGTCCTAAGGTGTCTTCACACAGCCAAGTTAAGGCTGCTCTGTGCCTGCTCAGTATAAAGATGCAATGCTGCATAAAATCCCGGCTAAATTATGCCTGCTTCAACCAACCTCAGCCCTTGATATCAAAGTATACAACTGTAATTTCTCATGTAAATGCATTCATGCCACCTCCAAGCTGTTTTAAACAGTCTGTGTAAAGCTACCAAAATGCCACTTCAGAAAACCTTCTGTGCCACATTTGCAGTGTAAAATTGGCATTATTGGTGATAAACTCTTGGTGTTGCAGAAGAACCTTTGCATCAAGTCTTCATGTATTTATAGATGAGTAATTGCTTCCATCCTTGTGTTTTCAGAGCATAGTTTGGCAAAGCTAAATGACTAAAAAGGAAACTGTGCTCATTTTGACCTACAACCCACGCTGATGGTACAAATCCGCCCGCTCTCATCCTTCCTCTTCACTGGTCTGCTGCCAGTATATTCGCTCTGAGTGAGACTGAAATGGCAGCAAAGCCTCAGGAGTGTTTTCATGTGGAAAGTAGTTGCAGTTGATGCAGTTTGTTTTTTATCGTTAGTGTTTCCAAGCGAATCCGCCTCCTCAAGCTAACCCCGGAATCACCTTTTAAAGATCATTTCTTGTTGGGAATGTAGTGTAAACCCAACGGTCTGTCACAGGTCACCGCTGCGGACTATGCTGACATGTCTGCCTATGCTGCTTCTCTTCTTTCCTGTTCACATGGAAACCCTGGGCCTCATTAGCTCACGTACTTGACTCCAGACCCCCGTCTGTGCTTCCACGGGAGCGAATCCCTCGGAAGCAATTTAGGGCTCGATATAAATCAATTTTTATGTTAAATAGTTGCCTTGGAAGGAGGTGTGGGGGTGGGGAAGTGTGCGCTTTACTGAGCCGTAGGCTTACCACATGTCCCTTGTGCTTTAGTCACAAAGCTGACCACCGCTGACTGTCTCTGCCTTCCTCTCTTTCACTCTCTACAGGTCTTAGTAATTCACCTCGCTTGCTCATACTCTCCTGCCAACCTGCAGTTTTCTTCCTCTCTCTGGTCTCATGTTTGACCCTCTGCAGTTGTTGTGCCTTGCCTTTGGCTCAGCTCTAATTTTAGTAGGATTGAAGAAAGTCTAGCAGGGGAAGGATGAGGGGTCTTTCTACGAGACTCAGACTTCCAACCTAATTACCCATCCTGTTACCTCAGTATCAGACTCCCTGCAGCAAACCCAGCCAGCGGATGCAGTGCTGACTCAGTCACCTCTCCATGGAACAGAGCTTTTCAATGAGAATAAGGGTCGGATTCTAGTGCAATTGCCATTTTGGTATTGGAGTGTCAATTGAAAACGTAATTCGGGTAAATTGGAGGTATGATGGATATTTTATTGCATACCCATCAAAAATTTAAAAGGAGACTAAAAGAAAGTGAATAGATGTAT